CCTGGGTGGCTGGGGACCTCCGGGCTGCCTCGACGGCCATGCACCCCAGTGGCGTGCCATCCCCCTTCCACGCGCAGGCTGTCCGCCGGCATGCCTCGGTGGCCGGGGTGCTCGTTGTGTCAGAGGAAAGCAAGGCCCATTCCCCTCCAGCTTCTAGGCTGCCTTGATGGCTCTTCATCCCAGTGGTGCGCCAGCCCCTGTCCACTCGCAGGCTGGGCGCCAAGTCGGCTGGGGGTGATGACAACTGGCGCGGGGGTGGGAGGAAGGGACTCAGCCAAGCGTCCAGCTGCCGGACCGCGCATTCTGTCCGACGGCTTCGTGCATACTGAGGGCAAGCTGGTGGCCGGGGCTTGTGTGGGTGGGACCCCGCAACGCAGCCAGCCAATGCCGGCAGCACCTTTGGAATGGCAGTATTTGTAATGGCAGTTCAGGCGGCCAACTGATTTTGGCGTGAATAGAACTTTGCCACTCCAAATCGCTTTTATTAATAAGGAGAGATTTTATAGTATTTATTGATCTTATTGTATTTTGACATCTGTAAGCCGCCTTGAGCCAGGTTGTACCGGCAAGGCGGGGTATAAATTGGAAGTAAATAAATAAAATAAAAGTATAGAAATAGAGGAGGAGGGAAACACACGTGCCCCTCTGAGCTCCCTGAAGGAAGAGGGAGACAAAAACGCAATGAATAAATACATTAGGTATTCATTACATGCAATAATTCCATGGAATTCTCTGCTACAATATGTGGGGAAGGTCACTGGATGGATCTAAAAGAAGACTGGACCAATACATAGAGACTAGGGTTGCCAGCCTCCAGGTGGGACCTGGAGATCGCCTGCTTTTACAACTCATCTCCAGCTGACAGAGATCAGCTCCCCTGGAGAAAATGGCTGCTTGGAAGGGTGGACTCTGTGGCATTGTACCATGCTGAGGCCCCTCCCCTCCCCAAACCCTGCCCTCTCCTGGATCCACTTCCAAAGTCTCCAGGTATTTTCCAACCCAGACCTGGCAACCCTAATAGAGACCCCTCAGTAGCTGGAGGGGGGGACCAATGTGTTGGGGGGGTGCTCTTGCCTTAGGTGGGAGTGTGATTCACTCTAGCACAGATCTTCTTATGTCCTTAAACTTTACGTATATTATTTACAAACCAATTTAAACTTATTCAAGCCTAAAGTATTGTTTAGCTCCAAAATTTCCCTACGAACACACAGTCTAAAACTGAAGATTGGGTCGATTGAAGTATAGTTGTTTTTGAAGTGTATTTTGTTCAATTTGTTTCACAAACAATCCGGCAAACCAGGCCTATAAGAGTTTTTCTACTTCTGATGGGCAGTGTTCCCGACAGATGGCTCATTTTGAAAAAAACAAACCAACAGACCAGAACTGTTGGCAGTGCTCAGTTGTGCTTCCCGGCAAGCCAAAAAGCCACGTTCTGGCCCCAGACTGGCTTTTGCAGAGTCAGTGGAAAGGACTTTGCTCGCTTGCCATATCTTCCTTCACTCGCATGTTGTTGCATAAAATATGATTCAGGCTAAAATACATTATAATGCTAAATGCCGTGTTTCATATGTAGATGCTGCTGTGGAGTGTGAGGCCTTTATGTACGTTGTCTGGGCCCAGGTTAGGACTCTGGCTGCACCATCCTACCGGCTCTAATTAAAATGCCAGGCAGTTACTTTGAAAACGGGTCTGTATTTGCAGTTAGAAATGCTGGCTTGGTTTTAGATCAGACTCTAATACAAGGTATTGTCAGAGGTCATTTCGGGGGGGATCGTGGGGGATCGCAGTTCCCCCGGGTGAGGTATGGGGGGCGGGGCACATGACGAAGCCCTGCCCCCTGCTTCCGGCTGCCCCGCTTCCGGCCCTCATTCAGCCACGAGGAGGCAGGAGAAGAGGGTAAGTTGCTTCCTCCCTGCCTCTCCCCACCCCTGCCTGCCTAGGGCCAGGGAGGGCCTTCACGGGGCTTCCTTGCACTCCCGCCTGGCATATGCTAATGAGTTATGCTAATGAGTCCCCCTAGCTCTTTTTCTACGAAACGACCCCTGGGTATTGTAAACAGGCTGAAAATCAGATCTCTGGCGGACACGTTTTTCGCCACTGGGAGACTATGCCATGCTAAGAATATTTTCGCACGTGAATTTAGCCTCTAACAGAGTGTGTATGTGTGTGTGTGTGTGAGAGAGAGGGGGGGGGTCATTAAGATGCTTACGGTGACCCTCTGAATGAATGACCTTTGAAATTTCCCATCATTAACAGCCTTGTTCAGCTCTCGCAAACTGAGGGCTGAGGTGTCCTTTATAAATTCAATCCATCCCATGTTGGGCCTTCCTCTTTATTTATTTATTTATTTATTTATCTATCTTTGAATTTCTACCCCGCCCTCCCCGAAGGCTCAGGGCGGCTCACAAGGGGCACAAATGCCCAAGTTAAAACATTAAAACAATACAGAATAAGATAAAATACAATAAATACAATTTACTAAATTGACTTTACGGTGCTCTAAAATTATTTAACTATAAAAGTTCAAGATGGGATTCTAAAGTTATTAGCAACAAGCAACAGTAATAACAATAAATATAGCAGCAACAATATACGTCCATACAGTGTTGACCTCTGCCAGACACGTCTCGCACCGCCGAGACGTGCCTGGCTCCAACTTTTCCTAGCTTTATTGTCTTTTCCGGTGACTGTTAGCTTTGCATATCGTGACCACAAGCACGATAGCCTCAATTTAGTTATTTTAGCTTCTAGGGAGAGTTCAGGCTTGATTTGATCTAGAACCCATTTATGGGTCTTATCTGTTAGCAAAACAAAGATAAAAACAGGCGATTGTTGTTATATCCTTGATTATTGTTTTTATTGTTGTTGGTTTCTCTTCAGATTGCATAAATCTTTCGCCTTTTACTAAGGATTTCCGTGGAGAGGAGCAGTTATTTTCACTTATAGCAGTGGTGGCCAAACTCGCTTAACATGACAGCCACACTTATGCTCAGTGTTGGAAACAAGAACGGATACCTGAGATTTGGGAATGGATAAGGAAGTTGCTTTTTATGGCAGAAATGGATAAATTGACAAGAAAACTTAATGATAAAGAAGATGAAGAATTCTTTGCAGATTGGATGGGCTTTAAAGAATATTTAGAGAAACACTGGGATGTTAAAAACAATTTATTTTGCTTCGATCATTATTAAGAATAGAATGAGAAAATAGTCGAATAGAAAACGATTGTAATTAAAGAAATAGTTACCTATAAAGTTGAATATAAGATTAAGGTAGTTAAAGAAAATATTACATACTAAGTTTTGTTTCAGACGAAGGAATGGGTAAGAAGAAGGAAGATTTGGTGGGGGTGGGAGCACTGTGGGAAGCCTGAAGAAGAGGAGGGAGGATAAAAGTGGAAAAGGGTATATTGTGAATGATGAAATGTTATAATATTGGATATGCTGTTATATCCTGATAATAAAATGGGGTTTTTTTTAAACAAAAAACACACGACAGCCACACGGACTATACGTCAGAAGTATGAGAACCGCAAGAAATGAACAAATATCACACGCATGTTTTTACTGGAAAATATGCAGATGTTACAGTGCAGGCGTTTTAACTGCCTGTGCCACCGCACATGCGGATCCCGAGCTGCAGTTTGGCCACCCCTGACTTATAGTCTATCTTCCTCATTGGGACTCATTACATTCAGCATTGATGACTGGTCTAAGGACTGTAGAAATAAATTGAATTGAAGACATTCAGCCCTGTTTCTACAATACCTATAGCCAGGGGTCATTTAGTAGAAAAAGAGGTGCAGGAGCTCGTTTGAATAGCTCATTTGCATATGCCACACCCCCTGACAAAGGGCAGCCATGCCGCAGGGCACCTGGAGAAGATCGGGCAGGGAAGCCAGGCGTGTTTAGAATGCCTTCCCCAGATGGGGAAGGGAAAGAAAGGCGTTCAAATCCCACCCCACTCCCTTGAGTTTCTCTGCAAAAGCAGAGAGGCTCAGGGGAAAGGGGGGGCATGTCTGCCCACCTCCCCTCCCCTTCTCAGGGGAGAGGAGGGCAAGGAGGCAGACATGCTTGCGTTACCTGCTCGATCTCCTCCAGGGGCAAGGAACCCAGTCATGTTTAGAATGCAGGCAGGCCAGGAATGGCGCCGCCCCCCCCCCCATAGCACAGAGGTGCATCAAGTGTTCATCTCTGAGCAAGCTCGTTCTGCTCTTTTACAAGTCTCCGCTGCCTTCCTTTGTACCCATTGATTATTGTGTGACTAATTTTTTTAAAAGCCTGATTAATGAGTCATGACGCTGGGACAAGGGGAAAAGGGAGGGGGTACATAGTTTCTGAAACCATTATCAAACCATTAACTGCAGGCAACAGGCTTTTCCACGTGTGTTCTTGTTGCTTCCCCCATGTGTTTTGCTCCATCTAGTGATCGATTCGATATTATGTCTCTTTAAGTCGGACAAGAAGACTCTTGAGAGTCCCTTGGACTGCAAGGAGAGCCAATCAGTCAGTCCTAAAAGCAATCAACCCTGATCGTTCCCTGGAAGGCCAGATAATGAAACTGAAGCTCAAATACTTTGGCCACCCAGTGAGAAGGGAGCACTCCCTGGAGAAGACCCTGATGCTGGGAAAGACTGAAGGTCAAAGAGGAAGGGGACGACAAAGGATGAGATGGTCAGACAGTGTTATCGATGCAACGAACATGAAATTAAGCAAACTCCGGAGCACGACGGAAGACAGGAGGGCCTGGCGTGAGGTGGTCCATGGGGTCACAAAGAGTCGGACTCGACTGTGCGACTGAACAACAACAACAAGTCGGACATAAAGTGATTTAATGTCGAATTGACCACAAGGGAGCAAAACACCTGTGGAACAAAAGCTGGAAGTAACAGGAAGACACGAGCGAGGAAAATGAGAGGCACAGAAAGTATGCTGCATGTATCACATCTTTTTATTTGAGTAACCAGGTTGAACTGGACTTTGTTTTTCTAATCCCTGTAGGAATTAATGACCTGGGATCTCTCTTTCTGTGCTGGTGTGCTGTTCCTTAAGGTACTTGTGAAAGAACGGCACTCATGGAACCCTTCACGCTTTTTCGCAAGGTAATAGGTAGTTGCCTTCTTTTTCCGCTCAGGGAATTCCCCCCGCCTCCAAGATGGCTGGCGAGATCCATTGGGAAGTTGTTAAATACTGGGTTCAAGACGCATTACAGTGAACAGCTCTACTTTATTAAGTGGCTTCAGGAACACTACAAGACAAACTCCAGGGCAGCTGCCCTGTATTTAAGCATGCAATCACCACATGCCGAACACACCCCAATTCCAACGATAGGCTATTTACATAACACTGTTTCTCTATTGGTCCACTCCAGGATCCTACTAAGCTATTGTTCGGGGGAAGCAAGCTCAACCACATCCAGGTACTAGACTCTGGCTCAGTACACAACAGAAGTCCTTCCAATGTCTATTGAAAGATGATAAAAGGAGAGGAGGGAGTTGGGGGTGGGGCTAAGCAAGGGAAGAACATACATTCATTTTAATTGCATGTGTAACGATTCCTTGTTTCTCTCTGTGTGTGTGTCTTTAAAAGTTTGGTTGCATGGCTGTGATAGATAGACTAGAGTGGTTGAGAGAGGCAAGTATGGTATGATTGGTGGTTGACAGAGAGGGGGAGGGGTTTTGGAAGTGAATCTGAATGGATGAGTATGTATGTCAGTCAGGAGTTACAGTTGGATGTTGACAGTTGATGTTCAGGTAGACAAGCAGTTCTGTGTTGAAGCAGTTATAAGCTGATAACTGAGGTAGTTCAGTGAGACAGAGAAACAGAAGGAAAGCTGAGTGTATAGGAAAAAGTAAATGAAAGTTTAATTGAAGACAAGTTATAGGAAAGGCTGTATGTCCTGATAAACTGGAGAGAAACAGTGAACATATATGACCTTGAGTTAAACAAGTGTTACAAAGTTACCTGAAAGATCCCTGTTAGTGAGGGATAAGATTGTGTAATACCAAAGCAATTGTTCATCATTTATACATGACTAGTTACATTGTACAACCCTCTTATTTAGTAGTTATTTCAATAAATCCTCTTTCATCCAAAGTTATACCAGCTCTGAATGAAATACTTCCCAGGACCACATAGATCCCTGTAAGCCTTGAACTCGGTCTACCAAATTAAAAAGAGCTACAGTAAAAGCATAAAGGTTTGGAAATCCTTAAAATTTCCTGGTGGCAGCCGTATATACCCAGTAGAAGAAAATAAAGAACACTTTTAAAGTGAAACTAGTCCTCCCCAATAAGGAGGACGTCACAGTATGTATTTAGGATTCGCTTCTGAAGGGATGCAGTTCCAAGCAGAGGCAGCGAGGGAGGAAGGGTGAAGATGCTTGAGGGAACAGGGGGCTGGGGGGTGGTAAAACTAGAGGAGGAAGGTCACGGGCAAGGACTTACCAGGATGTAAGAGGCGAGAGATAAGGAAGATACATTTTTTTTCATTTCCCTTCCGACACAGAAGACTTTCCCCGTGGCATGGCCTGTGCGCTTTACATTTCCAAGTGGAAGGATTTAGATAGCTTTAAACAGGGGGCGTGGCAAATTCATGGAAAAGATGTCTCTCTGTGAGTTGTTATCCCCTCCAATAACAACATGCAGTCTCCATATTAGGAGACAGTATGCCTTCGACTAGCAAATGTTGCCCCAGGGGTGGGACAACATGGAAGGCTAGTTTCTCCCTGGGTTCTTCTCGAGGCAGCTGTGGTCAAGTTACTGTTAGATCATCAAGCAAGGCAATGTTTTGAAAACTGACAGACCTCTTTGCATTCGTTTGCAAGTCTGTTGAAATTGTCTTCCAAATATTGCATGCTAGGGGCCCAGCCTTTGGAAGTAAACCTTTAAAAGAAAAGGCAGTCAGAACAAAACACACCAAAATGAAGGGTCTCACACATTCTGTACTAGAGTACACAAACCAATGCTTAGGGCAGGGGTATCGAGCTCATTTGTTTTGAGGGCCGGATCTGACATAAAGGAGACCTTGTTGGGCCGGGCCATGTGTGACATAAAATGTAACGCCAGGGAGCGGAGATATAAACTTTATAAAGGACACAAACAGGTTTTTTTACTTAAAATAAAAACATGCTTAAAATATTAGCACTCTTGCAATATTTTGTTTATCTAACAGTGTCTGATAACCGACACCTCTTGCTCTGAATTATTGCATCAAAATGTCTGTGCTGTTGCCATCTTGAGTATGCTGTTCAGGTGTGTACCTGTAAGCTGCAAACCTACAATGACGCAGCAGCAGCAGAACTGGAAGAAGAAGCAGAAGACAGCCAGTTCCACTGCAGGCCTGATAGAAGCCCTCCGGTGGCCTGATCCAGCCCCTGGGCCGCATGTTTGACACCCCTGCTTTAGGGGAACCCTTTTGAAGAATGAGCCTGTGACAGTATGTACATTTATCTCTTAGCTAGGGCTCCTGCAAAGCTGAGCCAGAGCTGAGACGTCTGCCTCCTGTTTTTCCCATCATTGCTGAGCTAAAGAACTCAGTGGAGGCAATACCCTCGAACATGAGAAAAGTGCTTTTCTCAGCTGACGGACTTCCATGGAGACCTGAATGTCTTTAGAGATTAACTATTATGACACCTTAAATAAGAGGATATAGATTATCAGACACGGCTGCCCTTTAGACTTTATTGGAGATTTCTGTACTTCCCCTCTATTATGCAGGGTCAGAGACTGCAACTACTGAAGTTTACATGGAAGGAACCTTCCAAAGGTGAAAATGAAAAATCCAAGTGAGTAATTGAAAATGTCTTTTATTTACTTTGAGAATTATTGAACTGCTTTTCCTGTGCCAAATTGTAATTGATCTTAGATTTTGCGTGCTTGGCTGTCATCAGACCTTTATGAAATTTGAAATGATTTTTTCCCCCCTTTGCAAAATGAAACAAAGTACACATGTCATAGAAAAGGCCATGTTCTCTGCCAGGGTTTCAATTACAGATGCTGAGGATCAAATCTGTCTGGAAGCAGATTTCGTTGCCTTAAAGTTCCTAATGCTCGGACGCTCCCCAGGCTACAATAGCATGTGCCAAGAAAATAAATGTGCCTGGTAATGCATATTATGGGAGCAGCAACTTCTGTGGCTCAAAACTGATTACTTACCAGCCTTTTAAAGATGTGGAGGACGGATTATGGAGCCATTATTGCTAGCTTCACCTATTTTATTTTTCAGGCTCAGAGCCAGGTTAGTCTGTGGCTGTTTGCTAGAAAAGACCCAGACCTGCAATGCAATCTAAAACAGAGTTACACCCCATTAAGCCCTTTAATTTCAGTGAATTTAGAATGGCACGGGCAGGGGAGCAGCAAGGATTGCAGGTGTCATCTTACTTAACCATTCTCCGTTATTCCTGTTTCCCTTCCCTGGCATCCCCAATAGCCCCTCCACTTTTCCTGCTTCCTTCTCTCCTTCCCACCTATCAGCCAGCCTGCATTTATCTGCCCCCTTCCCATCTTTAGAGGAGCTGCGGTGGCTCAAGTGGTTAAGACGCTGAACTGCAGGCTGTGGAAGGTCAGTAGTTCAGCAGTTCGAGACCCGAGTGTGCCGCATGATGGAGTGAGCTCCCGTCTCTAGTTCCAGCTCCTGCCAACCTAGCAGTTCGAAAGCAAGAAATTGCAAGTAGATAAATAGGTACCACTTCGGTGGGAAGGTAACAGCGTTCCGTGCACCTTGGTGTTTAGTCATGCCGGCCACATGACCACGGAAACGTCTTCGGACAGCGCTGGCTCTTCGTCTCTGAAACGGAGATGAGCACCGCAACCCTAGAGTCGGATTCGACTGGCGTTAGAGCAAGGGAACCTTTACCTTTACCTTCCCATCTTTAGCTCCTTCCCTCTGCCTTGCAGCCTCTACTCAGGAAAACTTTGGCCGAGATGTGCAGTGGTGGCCACAGGGCCTAGTTGCACGATGGGGAACCTGCAAGGACTTGCAGTGGGCCGCTCACTTCCCCCTGTATCCCCCTCCCTACTCTGTTTCCTCCTTCCCTTCCCTTCTCTTGGTCGTCCCCCTATTCTCACCTATCCTTGCTTTCAAGAGTCAAAGCTCCCTTCTTCAGACACAAGTAGGAATGGAGCTCTATGGTTTTTTTGTCCGGCCAGAAGGTAGGAGGGGTGTATTAAGAATGCTTATAAAGGATTCAAAGGTATAGTGCATATTTTTAATCAGCAAGCTTTTCCCTTCTGCTCTAATCAAGCTGCATACAATATATATTGTCAGGGGTCATTTCCTGCAGGAGTGCACAGGAGCGGAGCTCCGGCAGTAAAGAGCCCAGGGGGCGGGCACATGCAACAAGCCCCACCCCCTGCTCCCAGCAGCCCTCAGTCAGAGCAAGAAGCAGCCAGGTAAGCTGCAGAGCTCCCCCAGGCCTCCCGGTCCAAAACAGTCCAGTGGCACCTTTAAGACCAAGTTTTATTCAGGTATAGGCTCTCCCTCCTCTGCGAGGACAGATCTGCACGTTCCCCTCCCCCCAATAGCTAGCAATCCAAAACACTCCAGTGGAGCCTGAGCGGTGGGTGTTGCCTTCTGACACACTTCCGGTGATGTCAGGGGGTGTGGCATATGCAAATAAGTTATGCTGATGAGTTATGCTAATGAGCTCCTGCACCTCTTTTTCTACGAAATGACCCCTGTATATTGTGCTTTTGTGTCCTTTACAAGCATTCTTTACAACACCCTTCCCACCTTCTGACTCCATTCCTACTTGTGTTTGACAAAGGGAGCCTTAACTCTCGAACATTATACCCCGAAAATCTTTTTGATCTCTAGGGAGCTACTGGACTCGAATCTAAATGTTCAGCTGCAGACCAGCATGGCCACCGTCCGAAACTATCTCCAGATAGTCGGGTACTGTGTGTGAATGGGTTAAAGGCCAATAAAGTGCCAACCATATTGCCTGGCCAACCTCTCCGCTTCAGTTACAGCAGAATACGCTTGGGGATGAATGTAGTGGGTAGAGCCCAAAGCTTCCCACTTCTATAGGGGATACAACAGCTGGGCCATTCCTAGGTGAGCCTACTTAGATGTTTCCTGTTCAGAAGCTAGAGTCCAGTGTTTCACATTAGAAAGTAGGAAGGCAAAGTGATATTTGTGCAGATTAGGAAGACAAGAGGGGGACCCGCGATACTCGCGGGGGGGAGAGAGAAGAGCCCCGTCTCCTCCATCCCCCCCCCATCTCCCCGAGGCGGCGGGGGCAGCGGCAGCGGCGAGGCCGGTGTTCGCCCCCTGCCAGGCCGGTCTTCCCCCCCGCACGCCCCCCCGCCCTGCCTGCCGGCTCGGGGGAGGGGGAGGAGGCGGCAGCGAG